ATGATTAGACCTTCATCTTTCTTCAAACAACTTTTAACATTGAAAAGTTGTAAAAAGTGACTTTTATGAACATTTTGAACAGACTGTAATTGTAATAAACTGCCAGTCCATTTTCAATTATTTTCAGACTTATTTTTATTCTATATTATTTCTTATACATTATATTATTTCAAGCTAATAAAATATCAGTAAAAGTCACTTTGTTAAACTGTAGAGTTGAATTTTCAACACCCAAATTCGACAAATCAGAGACCATAGTTCCAAAATGCAATTCACAACCGTAAATAAACGGAAAACACTTGTGAATCACAAAATTCAAAATATCAAGATTAAAATGTTTTTTCTTTTTTTTTTTTACAGTTCTAAAATGATAATGCTAAAGCTAAAATGGTAAATAAAGTACCTTGTAAAGCACTGCGACAGCTAGAGCCAGTAATAGCAGACCACCGATGATGCTTCCCACAATGGCACCCACTGGAACATCTGCTTTAGCTCCAGGTTTGCTAACTTTGACTTCAACCTGTCATGTATGATGGCAATGATAGCTATTATGTCAGATTTATATTTGAGCAAAAGCTTTCAATATTTCCTTCAGTGTTTTGCCTTTACCTTTAGTTGTTTCTGTTCTATAAAGAGCAGGTCTGGTTGAGACGTCTCTATGTCAGCTCTCACAGAGAGCACAACGTACAGGAAATCAGCCTTGATTGGAGAAATGAACACACACACAGTTTAAAGGTGAGTTCAACTAAAAATGAAAACTGCTGTTCGTTTCTCTTCCTGTAATATAGGACTTTTTTTTGTTTGTGTTATTCTGGAACTCAGATTAGAATATATTCAAATGTTAAGGATTCTCCAATGAAAAATCAAAATAAAATATGATCTTTCCTTGATTTTTAAATTATTTAATACAGTAAGGTCTGACTTTGCTTAGAGAAAAGTCTTGTCATTTAACAGAAATAATGTACGGCATAGAATATAAAGTCATGCTGCAGTGGAAAAAGAATGAATATTGTGTATTGTGACTCCCATGAGCTTGGAGAACTGCATCCATACATCACAGTGACTCAGATAACTCCTTAATACAGTCATCTGGAATAGCAAAGAAAGCATTCATGCAGGACTCCCATAGTTCATCAAGATTCTTTGGATTCATTTTCAATGCCTCCTCCATCTTACCCCAGGCATGCTCATTAACGTTCATATCTGGTGACTGGGCTGGCCAATCCTGTGGTACGATGACTTTGTTTGCTTTTAGGAACATCGATGTGGAGGCTGAAGTATGAGAAGGAGTGTTATCCTGCTGAAGAATTTGCCCTCCTGTGGTTTGTAATGTAATGGGCAGCACAAATGTCTTGATACCTCAGGCTGTTGATGTTGCCATAAACTCTGCAGATCTCTTGGATGCCCCATACTGAATGTAATCCCAAACCATGATTTTTTCCTTCACCAAACTTGACTGATTTGTGTGAGAATCTTGGGTCCATGCAGGTTTCAATAGGTCTTCTGCAGTATTTGTGATGATTGGGATGCAGTTCAACAGATGATTCATCAGAAAGGTCTACCTTCTGCCACTTTTTCAAATGATCAACTAAAAGTCAAGTTGTTATTTGTTGCTCTTACAACTGGGATCGACAACAAGACTTTTGTCAGGTAGTGTATTTCAGAAACCACATTTAAATATTGCAAATATTGAATTGAACAAGTTTTACTCAAGTTCTTTGAAAATGACTGTTTAAAAACGGTCAACATTTTTGGAAAATGACGAATTCAAAACACCTTTACTCTGAAGTTTTAATGTAATAAATAAGTGTAAGTGAAATGCTAAGCACAGTAAGGACATGTCATGGCGCTACATATGCTAGTGGAAATTAACAGTGCTTTAAAATGTCCTTGAATCTGCTGTTCATGAAAGAGTGGGGAAGTGAAAAATAGTTTTAACACTAATTTCCCCTTTAGTATTAACCCGGGCTGATCTTCTGAACTCACCATCACAAAGGTGCCGTTCCATATGTTTGTGGTGACGTTGATGTAATAATCGCTCTTTTGGTCCAGGTCCTTTAGCGTACACTGCACTGCGCGACATGAGGCCGTCCTGCAGTTCTGTGGATGGTCAACAGATGATGAACACAGCTACGGCTCTGAGGATGGAAATTTCTAGACATCCTGTTATTTGTAATCATGAGACGGGATTAGTCAACAACCTAATGGAGATCTGATTAAAAACACTATCACACAAATCATTTCATACTTCATCCATTAGCGCTTCCTGCATGCGTCATGATCAATAACATCCAGCCAAAGCTAATGTTTTGGACTGACCAGTTCATCTGTTCCTCTGAAGCTCTCCTCAGTAAATCGGGCTGAATGAGGTTTTACACTGATCTTCAGAGGGTCGATCAGATCGTTGTCTTTACAGAGGATTTTGTCCGCCTGAGAAAGGAAATGTTATTGTCAAATAAATATCAGCTGCATGTTTATGTTTGTTTGTATTATGATTGTAAAACTGGTAATGTGTACATGAAATTTTGCTGCTAGTGTTATAGTGCCAATTTTAGTTTCCCTAAACTGGACAATAATGTTTGAGTGTACACTTACCGGCCACTTTATTAGGTACACCTTACTAGGACTGGTCCAATAAAACCCTTTTGCCTTCAGAATTGCCTTAATCCTTCAAGGCATAGACTCAATGTACTGTAAATATTCCAATATGGAGATTTTGCTCCATATTGACATGATAGCATCACGCAGTTGCTGCAGATTTGTTGGCTGCACATCCATGATGCGACTCTCCCGGTCCACCACATCCCAAAGGTGCTCTTTTGGATTGAATTCTGGTGACTGTGGAGGCCATTTGAGTACAGTGAACTCATTGTCATGTTCACAAAACCAGTTTGAGATGATTCTCAAATGACTATATGAAATGGTGTGTTCTACTGCTGGAAGTAGACATCAGAAGATGGGTACACCGTGGTCATAAAGGGATGGACATGGTCAGCAACAATACTCAGGTGGGCTGTGGCGTTGACATGATCCTCAGTTGGTACTAAAGGGCCCAAAGTGTGCCAAGAAAATATCCCCCAAACCATTACACCACCGCCACTAGCCTGAACTGCTCATACAAGGCAGGATGGATCCATGCTTTCATGTTGTTGATGGCAAATTCTGACCCTACCATCTGAATGTCGCAGCAGAAATCGAAACTCATCATACCAGGGAACATGTTTCCAATCTTCTTTTGTCCAATTTTGGTGAGCCTGAGTGAATTGTAGCCTCAGTTTCCTGTTCTTAGCTGACAGGAGTGCCACCCGGTGTGGTCCTCTGCTGCTGTAGTCTATCCACCTCAAGGTTAATATGGCGAATTAAGCCCCGCCTTTTAGTACAGGAGCCAATCAGCGATCGCTATAGAATGACAATTCTTGGGGGAAGGGGCTTGGACCAGATGTGAGTTTCTTCATATTTTGTGTGATACGAACATTTAGAAATGAAATTAAATAAATAGTTGTTGTATAATTTAATTGGTCATTGATAATATGAAATGTAATCGTAAGCTTGGAAAGTAGTTTTGGAGAATTTGATGTTTCCCCATATAGAGAGAATGCCCGAGCATACTGCCCGAGAGGCATTTCAAAGATGGCCGTGCCTTAAAGGGACTTTGATACCTCGGTTGTAACGAGTGGTTATTTAAGTTACTCCTGCCTTTCTATCAGCTGGAACCAGTCTGGCCATTCTCCTCTGACCTTTGGCATCAGCAAGGCATTTGCGCCCACAGAACTGCCACTCACTGGATATTTTCTCTTTTTCGGACCATTCTCTGTAAACCCTTGATAGAGTTGTGCGTAAAAATCCTAGTAGATCAGCAGTTTCTGAAATACTCAGAACAGCCCTTTGGCACCAACAAACATGCCACCTTCCCCATTTTGATGCTGGGATTGAACTGCAGCAGATCATCTTGACCGTGTCTACATGCCTAAAGCCATTGAGTTGCAGCCTTGTGATTGGCTGGTTAGAAATTAACATTAACTAGCAGTTGGAAAGGTGTACCTTATAAAGTGGCCTGCCAGTGTATATTGATGTTGGAATGTGTTATTGTTTCACTATAGTTGAACTGAGTTGCTCACAGGTGATGTTTTAATCCTGCTTGTGTACAGGAGAGGATTTCCAGCTCTCGTGTTGTTGGGAAGCGAGATATTGAGGTAAACCAGACTGACCGGGACAGTTCCTGTAGAAACCTGTGGTAACATACACACACACTCATGTTTGGCTGGATTATTACATTGAGCTTCATTTTCAAAGTGAGCCAACAGGTGGTGGTAGAGAACCATCTTAAAAGTTTATTTTCACCTTTAGATTAAAGTTAAAATCGGGCCCAATGTCCTTGTAGTTCTGCACTGTGGTGAGGAAGTTGTTGTCTTTTTCAAGTAAATAAACGTCTATGTTTGATTCTCTGAGGAAATGAAAGTATAAGAAAGATATTAATCGAAAACGTATAGCTTAGTCCAGCGTTGTGATTTTTTTAAAATTCTAATATTTTTGTTAAAAAGTTCTTTCTTTCTTTCTTTCTTTCTTTCTTTCTTTCTTTCTTTCTTTCTTTCTTTCTTCTTTGCATGGAATAACAGTTTTTTAATTTTTTGGAACAATTCATAGTCAACATTATTAGCCCCATTTTCTCTGTTATCCAATAACTTGCCTTGAAAATAAACTAATAATACAGCTAAAGAAAATAAAATTTTAAATTGCTCTATTTCTTGCAAAAATAACTAGTACAATAGTATGTGCCATCATCATGGTGAATAAAAAATAAATTAATTATAAATTAGTTATGAAATCTATTATTTTTAAAAAGATGTTGGAAAAAAGTGTTTGCACAGAATAGAAATATAATATTCATGCCAACTACAATGTTCATATCAAATACAACATGCCAACACTTTCTAACCAATTACTGTTATTTTCAGTGTTGATTATTAGTCATTTATACTATATATATATTTTAACATTTTTTTTTATATATATATATATATAGTTTAAATATAATGTCATTTAAAATGAAAATTTTTCTCAAGAAACATCTCATTTATCGGTCATATTTGTGCATATCAATTCAATTAGTATATATACATTTATTTATAAATAAACATTTAAAAAGAAAAACATCTATTTGAAAAAAGAGTTAATCAAAATGAACGTATTTCTTCTCAAAGCATCCCTGCTTACTAAAAAATTAAATAAAAAGATAAATAAAGATGATGTTTCATGAATATATTTTGTACATTCTCTACTGTAAATATATCAAAACTATTTTTGATTGATATTGTGCATTGCTAAGATCTTTAAATGTGATTTTCTCTTTTTTTTTTGAAGCATCAGATTCGTACACAAATAGCTACAGCTGAAGTCAGAATTATTAGGCCCCCTTTGAATTTTGTTTTCTTTTGTAAATATTTCCCAAATGTTGTTTAACAGATGAAATTTTCACAGTATATCTGATAATATTTTTTCTTTTGGAAAAAGTCTTATTTGTTTTATTTTGGCTAGAATAAAAGCAGTTTTTAATTTTAAAAAAGCATTAAAAAAGCAAGGACAAAATTATTAGCCCCTTTAAGATACATATTTATTTCAATGGTCCGCAGAACAAACCATCGTTATACAATAACTTGCCTAACTACCCTAACCTGCCTAGTTAACTTAATTAACCTAGTTAAGCCTTTAAATGTCACTTTAAGCTGTATAGAAGTGTCTTGAAAAATATCTAGGCAAATATTATTTACTGTCATCATGGCAAATATAAAATAAATCAATTATTAGAGATGAGTTATTAAAACTCTTATGTTTAGAAATGTGCTGAAATAATCTTCTCTACGTTAAATAAAAATTAGGAAAAAAATAAACAGGGGGGCTAATAATTCAGGGACTCTAATGATTCTGACTTCAACTGTATATCTCTGCAATACTTTGTCCTACCCTGACCAAGTATACATCAATGGGAAGCTTGTTTATTTAAATTTCAGATCATGCATAAATCTCATTTTCCGAAAATCAACACTGGTTGGCTAGTTTTGTGGTCCAGGGTCACATATAAGCATGTGGACAGCAACTACTATTACAGACTGTGTTTTGATCCAACGCAGCCAAGTGTTAATACCTTCATTTTCTTGCACTTTCTGATCTAATCACGATCGTTTATAAGGTCAACAGGCTAAAAGTAGATGGCTATTCTAACGCATTCAACTACATGAGCGTTTACTCGAAAGCTCAAACATTTTAGTTGCCATATTTAGCGCTATCAGTGTCACAATAATACACCATGGTATAACCCTGTGGTTCCTTTATACTATAAAATAATTCAATTCCACAGAATCAGTTTGTGTTAGGACAATATGAAGAAATAACTTATTTGTTTTTGCAAATTTAAGTGGATTGATCGTAAAACAAATAAACTGTCCCAAAAAAACCTCAACAATTGTGTTTTTTCAGCACGTTTTAAATAAGTAGCTTAAACAAACAGCAAACATTATGTTTTGAGTGTATGAAACCCCTACATTTGCGATTATCCAATGTAATTTGAGGGTTGGACTGTAGTAACCCTGTTCAAAAAGCTAGCACATCTACATAGACTATGGGAAAAAAAACAGCTGGCCAATCAGAATGAAGTATTTCTGTCAGGTGTTGTCTGACCTGCTGAGGATGATCTCAGAGTTGTACTGCACAGGAATGGAGATGGAGATCTTATTATCAGCAGGCGTTTCCTCTGTGCTGTCGCTGTAGCAAAAAAGAAGCAAACAAACACTGTTAAGCAGAATCATCTCTTCATATTTCACTAAACCTCTGCATCTGTGCTCTCATTGGCACAAGTTTCTCATCATCTACTTTACTTCTAGCTGTTCTAGATCTACTACTATCTAGTTCTACTAGTTTCTTTTTTCTATTGAACACAAAACAATGTATTTGGAAAAAAAAGATTGCTATTAACATTCCTCATGCTTTCTTTCGGCTTGCTTCCTGTCTTTATCAGACAATAGAAAGACAAAACGGAAGTCAATGGCTACCGGTTTCCAACACTCTTTGCACACTTCTTTTGGGGTCAACAGAAAAAAAGAAACTCATAAAGGTATGGAACCACTAGAGGGTGAGTAAATGGTAGGTACATTTTCAATTTCGGGTGATCTATCCCTTTAAGAGACTCTCACATACATGTATTAGCACTTTACAGTACCTTAAAGCTTCAAAGTCAACTTTGGCCTCTTTTTTAATCTGATTCAGGTTAAAATCAAAATTGACCACAAATGTTGCCTGTGAAAAACAAACAAAACCATTAGAATCATATGAGTCTGAAATTAATATTAAAGCTGATATGCTATACTGTAAGTGTGTCTCACCAGTTGGTCTGTCCTGAGGGCTGGATAACTCACTTGGCACATGAGAATATTTGATTCTTTTATTGGTGTGCACTTCACCTCTGTCCCCTCGACCTAGATAATCAGAAAGGAAATGGGTGATAGG